TCGTTTAAAACATAATTTTTTTTGCATTTAACCCTAATTTCACTTTTACTCTGCGTCGCTACGATATTGGTTTCTCTTGGCTTTTAACCTTAATTTCAACCTCTTTTTCTCGATTGTTTCAAAAATACTCAACAACTTCACGCACAATTAAGACGATTACCTATATACCCAATTTTTAAAGCTTCAATTTCTTCTGATGTATATTTTACTGCTAAATCTTTATTTTTGCTTTTTTGTGAGATTTAACAAATCGCTCCCAAAATACCGTGAAATCTCAGAAGAAATTGGAGTTTAGTTATATTCTTTTGTATTTTTTGTCGTGAATTTTCCAGCTTTTTCTTTTTTTCGTGAATTTAACAAATTGTTATCAAAATACCACAAAATTTTGCCAGAAGTTGGGCTCTGGGGACCTGAAGTCTGTTCATTTATAATTTTTTTTTTATCTTTTATTCTTTTTGTTTCATTGTGTTCGTGTCTACTCTGACATTTTCATTCTTTCCTTCTGACTTTGTTTGCACTTTTATGAAAGTTGTAGACAGAAAAAAGCGGATTAACGTACAAATTGAAGATTATCGACTTCAAGTATGTTGATTTCATTTTTGCTTTGTTTGAGGGTGATTTTTCTTTTACAAATAATTCGCTTTTTACATTATTCATAATTTTAGCCTCTGATTTTTATTATTATTATTATTATTTTTTTTTATGTTTGAACAATTGTACTTCAGGTGATTATGTGTATAGTGTTTTATTGTAGTTAAGGAAATATTTGGTGTTCGCAGATATGTAGTTGAACTAATAGTTAAGGTGTAGGTGATTGAAATGATTACTCATATTATAAGCATGTTTGAAAAGTTTGAGACTAGATTCATTGCAACAAATTTCTGTACTATTGTAAAAATTTTGTAGCTCAAAGAGAGGTTTCTATTTCGAATGTTAGGTGGTATATGATGTAGCTCACTAAATATAAAATATTTTAGCAAATTCTCATTCTTCAATTATATATTCATGTGAAGGGAAGAACTACAAATGAAACGGTTATGGAAAATGGTCATTGTTCAATAAGAATGAAAAGTGTTTATATTGGGAATAGAAGAAATCTTGGAAAACACATTTAGCTGATGAAATTTTATTGTGAGTGACAGCTAAAAATAAACCTCATTGGGGACTGAGGCCCTAACCCTTTCTTGCAAGATTCATTCCAAGAAATTAAGACTAGAACCGTCCGATGAGATCTCTGTATATTTGCTGTCTCTTTACTTATTGACACGTAAGCTCCTCATTTTTTTGTATATTTAATACACTGTCTTTGATGCTGGTGCATGATTTTTGTTGTCTTTTAGGGTGTGATAATAGGTGGGTTATGTGAAAATATTACAACTACAGTGCCAATGGAGTGGCTCTCCACTTTGCCTTTCTTCATCCTCTGCATGTTAATAGATGAGTCATTTTTGTCTTTTGGAATTATTTGTTTTAGTTATAGATTATTTTTAATTTGAGGTTCTAATCTTTTGAGACTTTCAAAAATAAAAAAAAAATTAAATGATTTAACAAATTAAAGAATCAAAAGAAAAAAAGAATTGTAGGCAAAAAAAAAAAGAAAAAAATGTTATTATAAAGGTTTTTTTAGTTAAATTGAAATAATTATAATTAAAAATAAATATTATTTAACTAAAATTGAACAAATTACTTTGTATCATAAAACGAAAAGAATTTTAAATCGAATAAAAAATTATTCGCTTATAATATGAAGAAAAAAGAAATTTCAAAACAGTTTTCCAAAAATATATAAGAAAACAAAGTTACAAAACTTAAATAAAGAATATATAAATATTATTTAATTAAAATTGAAAATTTAAGTTTAATCTTAAATAAAAAAGAATTAAAAATAGTTTTGAATCGAAAAAATTTATTTTTAATATGAAAAAAATCTAAAAAATAAATAAGGAAAAAAAAATTTCTCCTCCATCCACGAAGAGAAACAAAGAGAATCTCTTCTTTCGAGAGTTTGAATTCTCTTATTTGAAAGGAGAATGAATTCTATTTAATTTTTTTCTGCTATGATAGAATTTAATTTTTTAATTTTAATTAAATAATATTTATATAGTCTTTATCTAATTCTCGTAAATTTTTTTAATCTGTTTTATTTTTATTATATTTTTAAAAAAAATTAGTTCGTATCATAAATAATTTATTTTTCGATTTAAAATTCTTTTCATTTTATCATTTTTTAAATTTTAACTTTATAATAACTTTTTTTTTGCCTGCAATTTTTTTCTTCTTTAATTTGTTAAATCATTTAGTTTTTTTATAATATGAAGAAAAAAGAATCTTAATCATAGAAAGAAAAGAATTTTAAATCGAAAAAAAAATTATTTATAATATGAAAATTTTTAAAAAACAATCTTAAAAAAATATATAATAAAAGCAAAACAAATTAAACAAAAGAATGTTGTGAAGATTAAATAAAGAACATATAAATATTATTTAATTAAAATTGAAAAAAAAATTAATTTTTTATAGAGAAAAAGAATTAAAAAAGATTTTAAATTGAAAAAAAAATTATAATATGAGCAAAAGAAATAAAAAATAAATAAATGAGGAAAAAATAAAAAATGAAAAAAAAATCTCCTTGCTTCCTGTGATAATCCAATGAATCAAACGATTGGATTTCACCAAATATTTCAAATCTTCAGCCAGTTTTGAACAATCTACAATTTTGACGATAATATCTTTAATTTGTTAAGTCATTTAGTTTCTTTATAATATGAAGAAAAAAGAATTCGAATCATAAAACGAAAAGAATTTTAAATAAAACAAAAAATTATTTATAATATGAATAATTTTTTTTAAACAATCTTAAATAAATATATAATAAAAGCAAAATAAATTAAAAAAAGAATGTTGCGAAAATTAAATAAAGAACATATAAATATTATTTAATTAAAATTGAAAAAAATCAAGTTTTTTCATAAAGAAGAAAGAATTAAAAAAGATTTTAAATTGAAAAAATATTTATAATATGAACAAAACAAATAAAAAATAAATAAATGAGGAAAAAACGAAAAAAAAAATCTCTATGCATCCTGCAATATTGTAATGAACAAAACGATTAGATTTCACCAAATATTTCGAATTTTCAACCAGTTTTTAAAAATATACAATTTTGACGCTAATAAAAATACAATAAATACAAAACTCGTGCAACGCACGTGTCAAATACTAGTATTTGAATAAAATTTGATTAGAATAATAATTTTGTTTTTACTTTATGAGTAAAATTGGATTAGTACGCTTTTAAATATACATTCCATACAACCTTTTTAATTTGCTATCTTGCATAAATCAAATCCACATCGAATCTTTTCGTTTGATACACTAGAAATTGAAGCATATTGTAAAAACTGAGTCTCTGTTTTACAAATTTATAAATAATATATGAGGAAGAATGGTATGAGGATTATTAATTATCCCATAAATTATGGATGATATTGAGTAGTAATTATAAATGTGAGGTTACATTTAATAATTAATGTTTGACATTTTTTGAATTTATAAATTATTTAAAAATTGATTTCTATATAGAGACTAAATAATTTATTTTTTGGGATAAATTTTATTACAAGGCTAGTTGAATTAAAGTTTAATCCCACATTCCCATTGTGTTTCACATGTGTGATTAAAATTAATTGTTGACTTTAATTTAAATTAAAATCTTAATTTTATTCTCATAAAAAATATCAAACCTGAAATTAAATATTTATTTAGCCATCTTAGCCTTCTTCATTTTCAATAAAAAAACCAATCAACTCTCAATCCACAAAAGCATTTCATCCTTGTCATACCTCTAATTCTTATGAAACTTTTCTTAGTTTGTCACGCAGTGAAACCTGATTAGTATCATATTGTTTAGTTAAAAGAATGTTAAGTATATGTTTGTCTATTATTAAAGTAGTAAAATAAGTTTTGAAATAATGAATTTTTGGAGAACGTGTGATTAAGTAAAAGTTTTGAATTTACATGCAAAATGTTTTATTTTAAAAATATATGAATGAAAATGAGGTTAAGGTAAAATAAATAAATAAATAAAAATTTGAAATAATGATAGACAAACAGAGGTTTAGAAAACAAGCACAGAAGAAAGCAAGCTAGAGTTAAAGCTTTATTCTCCCCGGCTAATTGTTTTTGAGTTAACAAAATAAGTAATGCTACTTGTACACAATAATGTACATATTGATGATGTGGAAGAGGAAATAAGAATAAAAGTGATGATCAATTTGTAAACCAATTTTAACACTGTTATATATAAAAAATCATGTACAGTATCAAAAGCGTTGACATAATTCTTGACACAATATTAAGTGACATTCCATCATTAGACTATTATAAACATGGTCAGTTTTTTTTTTTTTTTTTTTATCAAATTATCTGCTGTCACCTTGAATTATACCATTACATTTGTAAAATTGATTATTGGCAAAGTTGCAAAATCCTTGCACAAGTAGCATTATTCTAAGGAACTAGATTGGATGTAAGGGTACATTTGATTGTCAATATTTTTCATGGAAAATGTATTTTTTTTTTACTTAAATTTTTATTTTTGTGTTGTTTGATTAATATTTTTTTCATGGAAAATATTTTCTTATTTTTGGTCACGTGATCATATTTTCCTCAAAATCAAGAAAAATATTTTCTTTGGGAGGGATTGAGATTTTATTTTTTAGAGAATCTATTCTCTCTCTCTTATATATCTCTTCTCTCTCATTTGTCCAACTGTAGAAAATTAACAAATATAATACTTTTTAGGTTGAAAACTAAATCAATTAAACATATTTAATTAATATTTTTCGTATATATAAGTTATATGCGATTGAATTAACTAGAATTTATCTTATTTTCATGCAAATTTCATATTCGCAATCAAACACGTCATAAGATCAAGTCCCACTAGAAAAGTGCTTAAAAGCTACCATTCGGAAAAGTAATTAGCATTTTCTTACCTTAGCCAAACATGCTGTTTGTTGAAGGAATAACACTCTTGATGTCATCACCAAAAAAATCCCAAACGCCAACGCGGTTTCTTGTTCAAAGTCTCCCCTCCCTCCCTCGAACGACTCCTCTTCTTTCTTCCTCTGTTCATATATTTAACATTTTTTTCTCCATTGATTTTCAATTCTTCATTCTCCAACAAACAATCCCTGTAGGTGTTTATTGTGTAAATAATTGCTGAACAGAGGAATTGAATTGAAGCCCAAGGGGGATGGGTTGTTGCAGCAGCAAGACCGCCGATTCTAAATCGAGTCGGGTGACACGGTGGCGGTCCACTGGAATCGTTGCTCTGCGTGACTGCAAGTTGAAGGCATCATTTCGTTGATCGCCTTTATTATTTCAAATTCTTGCTGGGTTTATAATTTTTTCAGTTTGGATTATGATTTAGTATTTTGAATTTGAATTGCTCTTGATTAAATTGAAAGAAGAGTTTTATTTGTGGAAAATCAGATTAGATAGCGACGGAATTTTATCAGAATTATTTGTATTTTGTTTATGCCGGTATCCATACTGATTTTGTTTTTGAATTTTCCATTGTTGTGATCACAGACGTTTCCGGATGAAGTTATCGACCTTGAAAAATCTGTGCGCACCCTCGATTTAACGCACAACAGATTGGGTAATGATCTTTAGTATTTGAAGCACCTGTTTTTGTTAGCATTTTTGTTTTTGAATCAATTCTTTAGTGTTAAGGTTGCATTAGTTTCATAGAATTCTTGGTATTGTGTCTGTAGTTCACTTACCTAAATCTCTCTTTTTCTGTGTGCTGTTTCAGCTGATATTCCCATGGAGATAAGCAAATTGATTAACATGCAACGGTTGGTAAGAATGCAGATTTGAGCTTTTGTATCTATGTGTTAGTTTTCTTGAACATGTATCAATATGTATGAAACGGTGCAATTTCGCTTTATATGCTACAGTGGTTTCAGTTTGATTGGGTAATTGAATGTTTTATTTCTCTTTAAAAGAGTTGTAGAAGTTAAAAGGTGAAAGCTAAAGTCACAAGGAATTTACAGAAAGTAGACTGTTATCTCTATTCTTTTAAAATAATGCTGTTGATGCCTATGGGTTTTTTACTTTTGTGGATGAACTAAAAAGAATGTCTTGAGTCGAAACTCTAAGTTGTCATTCACCGTGCTTAACAATGCAGTAAAGGCAGAGTCACAGTTTGTAATTAGGTGCAAACCATCATAAAGAATTGTACCAATTCAAGAACTAGGTTTGATGATGTAATAGATTGCAAGTATTGAACTACTTTGGTCATCAGCATAGTTCCCGTTGGACTGCAATTTGACTCTTGCTATCTTTTGATTGGATTTAAGCCAAAATCTTTATAGTGGCCTCTGACATTGTACCGGAGGCAATAACTGTTTATGGAATTTTCTAGAAGATAAAACAGAACGTTTAATGGTTTGGTCTATATTAAAAAATTGTTACTTATGAGCAATCTTCTCTCTCTCTCTCTCTCTCTCTCTCTCTCTCTCTCTCTTTTATTTTATTATTATTATTTTTTTTAAAGATGTACACTTGAATGGATCAATAGTTAGTATACTAATTGTAGTTATTTATTTCTTAAACTTTTCATTCTGCATTTTTGGCTACACTGAATCCGTAAGTAGTTAAACATTTGGTAAAGTCGGTATCATAAGGGGAGGCAGAATGTCAAGTTACTTAAAAGTATTTAAATTGTATTAAGATATTATAATAATTTAATCTCTGTTTGAAATCATTATTAATTTATAATTTTAAAATTAATATAACATTCAAATTTCTATTAGTTCTACACATTCATGCTTTATATTATAAAATGAAAATGCTTTGTAACAAGTGTCAGTTTCACTTTGACCAGTCAAACAGGTACTCCTTTTTTCTTGGGACACAGCTGAAATCATGTATTTGCACTTGATTCTTGTTACTAGGTCCCGGTAATGTAATGTTTTTATGTTAATAATGACACGGTGAACTTCTTATGAGAGTTTGGTTTTTACAGATTTTAGCTGATAATGTTATTGAGCGTCTTCCAATGAACCTGGGGAAGCTTCAATCTTTAAAAGTTATGACACTTGATGGAAATCGAGTAACCACGTTGCCTGATGAATGTGAGTTTCTTCTTCTCCAATTTAGTGGATTTTGTATTGACTGTGGTTGATCCTCTGGGTTAAACTTCCCCTTGCTTGATTTACTTGAGAGGGTATATATTACTTAAAGAAAACCATGACTTATTCAATATAAAATGTTTCTTTATTTTAGTGGGCCAGCTGGTGAAATTAGAACAGCTATCCATATCTGGAAATCTGCTATTGAATTTGCCTGAAACCCTCGGGAGCTTGCGCAATGTGAGTATCTCATTCCTAATGTTTTATGTATCTTCCATTCATCCTACAGCATGTGTGAGTTGCAATTAAATTATTTTTGTGATTTCAAATATCATTGGTTGTACCAAGTTGGAGTTGCTAATGTTGGCTGTTTGGTGTGTTTATTGACATAGATTTGATCTTTGGCGTAATATTTTTTTTTTATTTCTGGCCATTGATGCAGACTTGTAATTTCATGCTTGACACCCAATCGTTTGCTTCAATTCTGCAATAATCTTATGTTATAATAGCTCATCATTGTGAAGTTTTATGATTTAGTATGGTGGGCCTTTCTCTTATATTCCTTGTGCATCAAATTTATGCTTATTCCTTATGATTTGAAGCTGAAGGTAAAATACTTAGTGCTTTTATGGTCTCACAGCCCTCATGAAGTGATAGAGTAAAAAGAAGTGGATATGTAAGACTCAAATTCCATAGTTAATAATGTATACTGTAGAGTTACTATTTATAAGTGAAAGCTCACCTATGTGTAATTGTGCTGTTGTAGTATTAGAGTTGAAAATGAAAGAATTGTGAAAATGGAATCCAGAGTTGCATCTAACTGCGCAGCAAATCATTTATAATTACTAGACTTCCATTGGCATTATAAGAGAAGTCATTCACATCCGTAATGTGAAGGATACGGAAATGGCAAAAGATGAATAGATTTAATGAGTGGGCCAGAAATATTAGTTGAGTTTTTAAGGAAGGAATAAGTGGAAGTTAAGTTTACTCACGATAATAGCATTTGGTTGTTTAATCATAAGTGCCATCATTGAGATTAGTAAATGTACTAACTAGTGATCATAATAAAAAAGCATTTTTTAATTGTCAAATAATGCAATTCAATCTCTTGGATCTCAGTGGTAAAACCGAAATAAAATTGAATTGTTTTTAAAGTAAACAACTGTTTGGGAATTTTGTGATCTAAAAGTTGTAAGTTTAATTATTTAGCAAATCTAATGACCAAAACTAGCGTGCTATGTATTTTTTATACTTTTGGAATAGAAGATAACTACAGAATTTCTTGGTACCAACTTCCATGGGTGTTAAAGACCAAATCACTCCATCGAAAGATTGGTCAATTAAGAATTGACATATCTTTAATGAGATCTAGAGCTTAACTTCTTAATTAATATGCTCTGTTTTGATATATATATATATATATATATATATTGGAATTTCTGAATTAATACAGACCATTTGACTTTGCAGTTGGTGCTGTTAAACGTTTCAAACAACAAGCTAAACTTTCTTCCAGAGTCCATTGGTAGTTGCTTTTCTCTGGAAGAAATTCAAGCAAATGGTACCTTCAGATCTATCCTTTGTCAGTTTTTGGAGTTGACATACATCTGACAGTACTTTTATGCAAAATCTTAGTTTTTCACTTGGTTTTTTTGCTTCTTTTTTCTCTCTGGATGTGTTTACATTTGGATTCGTCGAGAATTTTGCACTCTTTCAGTTATCTGATATTTTTTTTCAAGGTGCAGGTTTTTCTCTTCATGGATTTTTTTTGGGTATTCTGTTAATCACTTTGCTGTAAAAATCTACCATACTACTGATTAGGGCTTATCTGCCTATTCCTGTCTGACGATATGAATCAATGGTCTCAGCATAGTTCCTTTGGATTTAGGCAAGCGTCACTTTGCAGACTATTTAATTGTCTAAAATATTTATTCAAATTGGAATAATGAAAAGCACATGTAAGGAATAAAAGAGATGGTATTGAACGCGCCCACTAGTAAGGTTTTGTTTTCCCCTTTTTTTATTTTTATTGGGTGCTCATTCATTCAGTTTCTAGGCCATAGAATCTCGATGCACCCTCTGAAGGATCAAATACCAGGAGAAGGCCTTAGATTCCTAATATGATTGTACTAGATGCAAGTAAAGATTACATGGGAACAGTTCAGCACTTACCAAGACACCATAACTGGGGATGAAGGTGGAAATGAATGGGGTGAATTATACGAAACTTTCGCATATTTTGTATACCTACCATTGAGATTAATACAAAAAATGTTGCAGAAACTCTTGGGGAAATTCCTCAGTAATATATAAAAACTGATGTGCACTTAATATTGCACAAATTAGATATTGTTGCATTATGAAGAGATGAAAGAGAAATGAGTTTAACCAAAAAGATGGAAGAAATATCTTCCTTCCAAGGATCCTGTAACAATCAAATGAGGTCGTTATTACTACCATATTTGGTAAAGGAAGGCATGGAGGGTTCGAATGTTGAACTAAAATTTTCTTTCCTCACAGGTCAATAGTAGAGTTTTTCCTTTTTAAGCTTTCTTCATGAGAGTCAATAATTTTTTCTGCACCTCATGTTTATTTTGAATCTTTAGAAGTGGAAGTTATTGCATTTCTTATTGTTGTGGAAGTGTAACATTAGCCTCTGAGGTTTATACATAGTTTTACCATAACTGTTTGTAGTTTTAGAGTGATTTTGCTCATTTGCCTTTTGTAGTGTTTTCCCTCACTCTTTACCCCTCCTACTTAACAGCATGATTTGTTATTTGGTGCAGAAAATTCCATTGAAGAGCTTCCTGCTTCGGTTTGCAATCTCGTTCATCTGAAGTCACTGTCCATGAACAATAATAATGTGAAGCAGGTACTAGACTACTAGTCTTTTTTAAGTTGTTGTCGTCCCCCTCTTCTTCTTAATAAATTTCCGATACTTTTCATTCTATAAACGTTGCCTTTTGGTTTTATAATGGAAATCAATTTGCCTGGAATTTAATTATTGTTATTTGTCTTTCTCTCACTGTATCATTTAATCGGCTATTTTCTGCCGGATGTCTTCTATTGTCGGATTTCCACTTGAATTTTGGTTTTTATTAGCCTTATATTCATTATTCTAGTTTCTTCCATTTTGCAGATACCTCCAAATTTGTTGAAAGAATGCAGAAGTCTGCAGAATATATCACTCCATGGCAATCCCATTGTTATGGATCAATTTCAACAGGTGAGATTAGTGTTTTTGTTTCACACTGCTCAATGCACTTTTAATATCATCAGCATAAATCAGTACCATGCAAAATCTGTCTGCAAGTAATCACCTAAATTATCTTTCAGATGGAAGGATTTCAAGATTTTGAAGCCCGGAGGAAAAAGAAGTTTGACAAGCAGATAGATTCTAATGTGATGATAAGTTCAAAAGGCCTTGATGAGGGTGTTGATCTATGAAATTCTTGCAGTGACAATCTTGTAAGGCTATGCCAATTCTGCATTACTACATTTTTTGTCCATATTTTTAGATGTTTTCACTATAGGATTGACTCTTTTTCTCTGAGTTTTAGTTGTCCTGAAATTATGATAAAGCTAAGTACCCCTATGAAGAAATGATTTTGATGATCTGATTGAAGAAGTGATTTTCTCTCTGCTTTTGGGTTTATGATTCTGAGTTACAGATTATATTTCTTCCATACTGGTGTTTCAACTTTTTAAGATCTCAATATTGTAAGAATGCAGCTTAAACATGCGTGCTATTTCTATTTATTGGAGTTTCCCTTGGTTGTCAAAATGGACCATGGAAACCCATAGGGAGTATTTTAAACTTTTTATAATCTGTCAAACCACCTTTTATTCATACATTTCGTGCGACCTACAATTACTACCCACCAAAACAAGCTATATGATATCTCATTGTTTTTTGTATGCTTGTAGAAGACAGACCAATGAATGTATATATCTTCCCCCTATTGGCAGCATGCTACATGACACATGTGCGTGTCATTGAGAAGAAAAAAGGTTCTATTCCACACATATATGAACATGCAATTTGATACGAGCTAACTTGCATGTGTTGAGCAGGAACCTTTTCTCCCTCAATGGTCTGTCCCTAACAAGTTTCCGAGCTAATTTGATTTCAGAAAGTTTCAAAAAACATCATCAAATGCCTGGATCAAAGATCACATTACATTCACTGTTTGCTGTTTCTTTTATTGTTTCTTCAGTATCGCTTCATTCCTATACGCGATTTGAGTTTGTATCTTGCAGAAGTTGAATTTCTCAGCGATGTGGAGTGGTGGAGCATTTGAACAAGGTCGTGGTACCAAAAATTATCAAATACGTTTTAAAGATTTACAGAGCTGTAGATGTTGTCCCTTCTGCTCTGTGGTTGGCATTTGGTCTTGTAAAATGCTGTGTACAGAAGCTATACGTATATGCCAACTTCCAATAACATATTTTAGTAAATTCTTCTCATGGAATGTCTATTGGATCAATATTTCCTTGTAAAATGCAGATTCATTTAATAAGAAACTGTTTTGAGCGGATTTATTGTGGTATGTTTGAATTCTTCACGCTTGCGCTGCATCAGCATCACCACCCATTATAATCTCCTTATTTATATTATTTTAGTTAAGATCCACCCCTAAGTTGACTGATCATGCTTTAATGTTCTTTTTGTTTTTTCTCGATACCTCAAAATATATAAATTGTTCCACAAAATAGAGAGGGAGAAGGGAATTAATTTATCAAAAAATGTGTTAGGATATGTCAGTATTAAACTCTTTAAAGTTGTAAATTTGTATATTATCTCTTTAATTTTTTATAAAGCAAATACCTTTTTAAGTTTTGATATTTGTTTTTGCAAAATCTTTTAACTATAGTTATTTATTATACTAAAATAACTGTAAATTAAACTTTATACACGAAATTGGACAGATTCATGGAATATAGGACATGTCTTGGGAGTTTTTGAGTTTGATATGACACAACACAATCAAATATGGACATGACACCATCTAAGTTTGAGTTTGATATGACACAACACAATAAATATGGACACAGCACCATATATCGGTAGGAACATATAATTGTACTATGAGTGTTTGTGCTTTATAGGTAGGGATGACAATTGAGTCGAGTGGTTCGTCGGCTCGTAAAAAGACGGCTTGTGAGTCGCATGGGCTCGTCTTTGGAGGAGCATAAGCATGAGCTGAGCGGGTCTACTCGCTAGGCGAGCCGAACCTGCTCGACTAGCCAACGGGCGAGCGGCTCTTGGGCCAAGCCAAGCTCGTGGGTCAGCTCGACCCGTTGTTTGCCCTTTTTATAGGTGAAAAGAAAAAGGAACGAGAAAACAAATTAATTCTCTTACATACATAATGCATTTGTTTCACTTATATTTTACTTTATTTTTCAAATACTTCAATGCATAATAAGACTTATTTATACATGTAAAAGATGTATTTTGTTAAATGTGTAGGTATGAGTCATGTTCATGTATGCTAAATACATGCTGCCTAGATTCAATTGCTTCTATTATTTTGTTTAGTAATGCAAAAGAGTGGCCATTTCACTTAAAGTTCATGCTCACCATTACAAAGATACTTTATAAATTTAATTTTTCTATGAGAAAAGCAAAGAAATAGCTGCATTCCCTATGAACCACTACAATAAAAGAAACCCAACTCTATTTTGTTTGTACATTTGATTTTTGCCACAATCTCGCCATGTTGTTCTTATGTTATTGGCTGAGTGGATACAATTTGCGAACTATTCTATTGGCTAAATTCTATGCCTTCTATTTCTACTTTTCGTTTTACTTTTCTTTCATTGCATTGAAAACATGATTTTTTTTTAAAAAAATTTATTACTGCTTGAGTCTTTAGGTCAAATTATTCAACATGATATCAGACAAGAAAAAGTCGCGTATTCGAGTTTCGGTATAACCCATTCAATAAAATTGCTTATGTTTCACACTGTGAGGCAAAAAATGACTTAATATAGCTGTCTAATAGCTTAAACCTTTAAATCAAGTGGTTCAATCTTATGACCTTTCATTTTTATTATTATTTTTTAAATGTGTGGGTGTATGTGTTCTGTCTTCACTTCTTCTTCATCACCGCGTAAAGGATCTTAGAAATATTCTTCATAGAAACAAAATAAGCAGTCCCAAGACACATAAATTACGATGGAGGCAAAAGCCATTCATTGTGTTTTACTTTTTATTGCTTTGAGATGAAAACAATATTTTCTGACGGAAGCATCCACGTCACCACGTGCATGGCTAATGCAAATATCAAGCAAAGGTGAAATATGGGTCCAATTTTACTTAACTTTTTCTCACAAATTGTTTTTCTTTTCGTAATTAACTGACTCTTTTGAGTATTCCCTAAGCATTTCTGCTGAGAACTTGCTCATTTGCACATGCACTACTATGACTAGTATAAAGGAAAACGCATGCACCTTTATTATTCATGCTTACGTAGTTGCGGTCAGATGCTACGATGGAATAGACACATTAATATGTCCAATATTCCTGTTGCAATATGATGAGAAGCTATTTCTCTCGGAACGAAATGATCAAAACCTATCACGTCCCACGCCGAATTTACAGGTTGTACTTTTCCCGTTAATCCATAAGAATTGGACACCCATATTTCAGGGCCATACAAGCCTGTTATATGAAGTGCATCAAAACCAAAGTAAGCCACCCTGAGATAAATAAATGAATTCTAAGGATAATTGATAATTCAACAGAACTACAAGCTATCGATTCATTTTCCGTATTGGAATTCTTAAAATAGAATCTATGGGGTCATATGGGTGGAGAACCATCGAATAGAAGCTACAAAACTGAAGGTCAAGACAATGCTGCTAAGGACAATGCTACACGTATCGAATTTTTTTATCGAATCTTTTACCTATTACTTACAATAGTGTTGGGGACCACATGACGATATTTTTAAATTCACGCAGGGCCTGCATGCATTGTGAGAGGGTACCCCCATTCAGTACATAGAGAATAATTGTGCTGCTAAAAAATAAGTTAATGAAATTGCAACGAGAACCATATGTTGGAGATATATTCAATAACTAGAAAATGAGGCTCAAGCAACGGCCAAGTTCTCATTGACAAATGTCATTCCTTTTTTTTTCGTGGATTACCTATGGGCTGCCCATCGGAACAGAAAAAAGCTATTTAAATAAATAAAATAATAATTTTCTTGTGCCCATCACAAAATTTCCCTGCAAAATTGCGTTTTAGTGAAGGACAAATGAGCATCACCGACAGTTTTCCATCGCTGAAACCTCATTTTTTAGTAGCATTAATGGTGCAATTTTCCCTTTCTATTTTTTGTATTATCTATTTTCCCAGTCAGAAGTATACAGTTGAGAATGAAAATGCCCCATCAGTACCCTCAACTCTCCCAATACAAATATTTATGGCTTGCATGATTAAAGTTTGACTCATAACTTATAATTAAATAATCTTTTTCATAATTTTTAATTACTCAATCAAAGAAGATCATACATGGTGGAGCAGTTAAGCTTCAGTATCTCCTCATACACTCATGTTCTGAAATTTTTTTCTTCTGCATGCTTAGTGGATCTTGCTTTGACTTGGGATTAAAGATATCGTGTCTAAAAGCAACAATGTCAATTTACTTTTTTTTTTTTTTTTTTTTTTTTTTTTTTTTTTAATTTTTATTTTTT